AAGTACCACCCAGACACATGAGAATCTGCTTATTTTAGAAACTGGATGACTTACTTGGGAGAAGACATGGGGTGTGCTTCAGGAGCAGACTGTAGGGGAATAACTTGAAATTTGAAGTTGGCACCCCTTGTAGGGCATGAGGGCCTGCTATGCTCTGCCTGCCAGCCTAAGCATCCTTGGTCCCTAGTTTGAACATCTCAGCTCTGACCACAGAATATCCTGTACAGGATGCTTCTATGAGAAATGCTCAAGGATGAAAGCAAATGAGGGTGCATGGCATTCATTTTTAGTGCAAGAGCACAATCGCTTCTTGAAGCCTCAGTTGCTGAAAAACTTGAGCCTTGTCATCAGAAGCTTCAGATCCCTCACATCTTTCCCACACCCATTTTTTCCTCCAGAACAAGGTGCCTCCTCACACTAACATTAGCCCAGAAGTCTCCCCTCAGCTCTCTTTCCCTAGATGATATCTCTGCTTTGCATTGATTTCTTTTTAAAACTAAAATCTATGGGAAAGGTGAGTAGAATAATCTTGGTCTCTTCCTATGAGCTGTTCATGAGGATATCCTTAACCCTCTCACTTCTCTTGATTCACTGATTACTTCAGAGATGGTACTTCAAGATGAAGTCACTTGTGTTATTTGATGAAATATTACTCCTGACTTTGGAATATTTTAGTGCACTTCAGTACACATTTTGCCTATCATTTAAAGACTTTAGAAGTCAGCTTTTAAGAATTTTAACAATATAAGAAGGAATGAAAAAGGGACACGATAAGGATAATTTCTGCAAATTTTCCTACAAAAAGTGAAGGAAATGTAAATAAAACATACTTTTGTTTTGCCCACAATCCTACCCTAACTGCAGAATGATTTCATTTATCTAACTTCTCTTCCAGCTTCTACTTTCATCGTTGTAAACTCTTGTTTTTCTATCCCTTGAGGCTTTTTGTAAACACTTTTCCATTTTGTAATAGATTTGTTTTTAGTGTTTGTGTAATATATTCCATCAAATTGATATTCCATAATTTATTACCACTTCCTTTAGTGCTGGACATTAAGGTTATTTCCATTTTCTCTCTATTATAAATAATAGGAGTAAGAACATCTTTGTATATATAGCCCTGTTCCTACATCTGAATTATGTCCTTAGGATAAATTCCCAGGAGTGGGATTAGTAGGTCAAAGGGTATGAACAGCTTTATGGCTCTTAATATTTATTGCTAAATTGCCCAAAGGGTCATTCTAATTTACAGCACCACCTGCAACACATGAGAATAGCTGTCTCTCCCAGCCCTTCCAGCACCATTTTTTTCAGTCAGTAGTTTCAGGCAAATTTAATAGATATGAAAGGATAACTAGTGGCTGTTTTTAATTGTTAATTAAAAAAATTTTTTATCAACATTGAACATTTTTCCTTAAGTATGTTTCTTGTGTTCTATTTTGTATGAATGGCTTGCTTTTCATGATGGAATATTATATTTTTGACACCAGGTGGAACTTAAAATATTTTATCACAAAAACATCTAATTCACTCAGGACAAAGAGGGTAATAATAAATCATTGCCTAGATTCAACAAACAGCAAGATTTGGCAACATTTGCCTCATCTCCACCTTCTTTTCCTTTTATTTTTTCCTTTGTGCCATTATTTTAAAAGGCAAATCCCAGACATTCTGCGTGTTTCACTAGGCATCTCTAAAACATGTGCACTTTTTCCTTCTGTAATCATAATTAGTTATTATTACATGTTAGTTTTCACAGCTAACAAAATCAATAATAATTCTTGGTCCCATTTGATACTGGTCTGTAGTAGCATTTTCCAAAACGTCTTTAAAAAGTCTTTTAACAGTACTTTGCTCCGATCGGCATACAGAGAAGTCCACTATACTTGGTTGTTAGGTTTCTCAAGTCCTATGATCCAGAGTGTGCTCCGTTTATTGCCCTCTCACCCCCAACTCAAGTTTACCCCGACCCAGTGACTTACTGCAGGAACTAAGTCAGCTGTCCTATAAATGTTCCCACATTCTGAATTTGACTTTTTGTCTCCTTATTAGCTTGATTAGATTATGTTTCAAGCACATATGGTCTGGTGATCCCACTTTGGGTGATGGTGAGGCTGGCTGTGCATTCAGGTGGTGACAGCCCTCAACACAGTTATCAGGTTCCTCATCAGCTTTGCCCCTCAGTATTTCACCTGTCCATGAAAGTTGCTTGAGTCTGTTAGTAATATTTCCTTGGTATCATGCAATGGTAATTTCCAAATTCTCTCCTTCCTTCTCCATTTATTACCTGGAATTCTTCTGTAAAGTGAAACTTCTTTCCTCATAAACTGGGACTTTTTTTAAAGTAATCTCAACATGCAGTTTGTGCAAGTAAGGCAAGATAAATGCTTTATCCTTTTCTCTAAATCTTCAAGTTTCTAAGGAGTTGGTTCCATTGTCATTTCCAATTGTTGCTGCTTTTTCTTTTTTAAGAATCATAAAATGCTCAGGGTTTTAAAAAATATATATGTTCCGTCTGTTTTACTTAATTACACTCTCTTTGATGTACAAATTATCCTGTCTTTGACCCAAGGGAGACCCTTCATGTCCTTGTTTTCAGGTAGAATAAGGTGTCTCAGGCTTCAGTTCAGTTCAGTTCAGTCGCTCAGTCGTGTCCGACTCTTTGCGACCCCATGAATCGCAGCACGCCAGGCCTCCCCGTCCATCACCAACTCCCGGAGTTTACTCAAACTCATGTCCATCGAGTCGGTGATGCCATCCAGCCGTCTCATCCTCTGTCGTCCCCTTCTCCTCCTGCTCCCAATCCCTCCCAGCATCAGGGCTTTTCCAATGAGTCAACTCTTCGCATGAGGTGGCCAAAGTATTGGAGTTTCAGCTTCAGCATCAGTCCTTCCAATGAACACCCAGGACTGATATCCTTTCAGATGGACTGCTTGGATTTCCTTACAGTCCAAGGGACTCTCAAGAGTCTTCTCCAACACCACAGTTCAAAAGCATCAAATTTTCAGCGCTCAGCTTTCTTCACAGTCCAACTCTCACATCCATACATGACCACTGGAAAAACCATAGCCTTGACTAGATGGACTTTTGTTGGCAAAGTAATGTCTCTGCTTTTTAATATGCTATCTAGGTTGGTCATAACTTTCCTTCCAAGGAATAAGCGTCTTTTAATTTCATGGCTGCAATCACCATCTGTAGTGATTTTGGAGCCCAGAAAAATAAAGTCTGACACTGCTTCCACTGTTTCCCCATCCATTTCCCATGAAGTGATGGGACCAGATACCATGATCTTAGTTTTCTGAATGTCTCAGGCTTATCTAATATATTTTTTAAAAAGAAAACAAAAATTATGAGTTCATACTGATACTTGAAATCTAACAAAATTTTTTTTACCCTCTTTGATTTCATGTTCATATTTCTTTCTCGTACACTAAAGACCTTGGTTCCAAATGGTGTTATACAATCTATCAAATAGTTTCAAAATATACTACTAATATTACTATCCAAATTTTCCCAGTGAGAGGTTTTTTGCAATTCTTTTTATCTTTAGAATACATCCACTAAAAATATCCAGTCAAATTACCTTGTTCTAACAGTGCCTGAATTACTTCTTTTAACCAATTTGATATACAGTTAAGTTCCTTTATTTCAGTTTGTTTTCAAATTTTAGGATTCACTCCCCCCCCCCCCTTTTTGGTTTTTATTTTTTGAATCTATAAAATATGCTTCTAAGATTGAACCTGTGTAACAAGGTTATTATCAGAAAAGTCTTTCTTCTGTCTCTTCCTTCTAATTTCCTCCCTCTCCCTATTGGTAAATATTAAGACTTGTTTGATCTTTGTAGTGTTTCTTTTTGCAAATATTCATTCATATGTCTTTAGCAGTTTTATACTAAAGCCAGCATACCATACATTCCTTACAATATACTGTATCAGGGTTTTAGAGATCTTCACTTTTTCTTGAAGGTTACAAGGAAATCCATTGTTAAGATGTACCATAGTTTATCAGCCACTTATTGATGTCTGTGTGTGTGTGCGTTTTCTAAAATCCTATGTTGAAGTCACTTCATATTTTGGCTAATGTATCTATAGGATCTATTCCTTGAAATAGAATTGCTAGGTCAAAGGTTAAGTGTAATTGTACACTTGTACTGCTTTTAGTTTTTGCTAGAGTCCCTTCCATAGGGATTGTGTCATTTTGCACCGAGAGGGATTTTTAAAAAAAGGTTTTGTAAATGCTCAAATTTCATATAAAAATTGTTGGAAAATTAGTGCATTCTTCCAAATCACATGTTATTTATTGAACCCACACTCTGTTCCCACTATTGTCCAAGGCATGGCCTGGTACAGAGCACTCTGGTTCCTGCTTTTAGGAAACCTGTGATTTGTCCATGGAGACATGATTCGTGAATGAAAAACAAATGGTACTCCAAGATACACATAGTATAAAAACAAAGGGAAAAATCCCAGCTCAAGCCCCTGTCTTTCAGAGGACTTGCCTGCTTGCCCCAGGCCTCATGAGTCCTCAATCCTCTGAATTTCATTATTACTTTAAGTGACAGTGACCTTTTTCCCAGAGCAAAACTTTTGACACTTAGTTGAACAAATATGAATATACAAACAGGATCAACAGAGCTTAATGTTTGAAATACAGGTTGTGGCATAAATTCAAGCTGAATACATTTTTTTATGTAGAGTTACATCTGCACTTCACAAAGAATCAGTGAAGTTTTACTAACAGTTCTGTGGCAAAACAGTGCAGAAATGTTAGGCTAAACGAACCTAATGAAACAGCCCCACAACCATGTTTGATGTCCCAACCTTACCTGGGCACAGAACCCCCGTCTCCATGGAGCACCTCGTGTTAATACTGTTGCACAGAACACAGAAGATCCAATATGTAGTTTCTGTTTGAATGAAAGCCAAAGGCTTCTCTTCGAGTTGTTTAACTTGTACAGTTCTGCATCTTTGATTAACAATGTCCAATTTGTTTCTTTCTAGATTGAATCACTAAAGAAGAAGGTGCAGCAGAAACAACTCTTAATATTGCAGCTTTTAGAAAAGATATCTTTCTTAGAAGGAGAGGTAAGAAGCTATGTTTCTTCATGCTGGTGTCTTCCCTACCATTAAATTTTATGTTGCTGAGCCTACTGCCGACACTTAATTAAAAATATGGCTATTTCCTGGCCTTATAAAATTGATTGAAGGTTAACTGCCAACATTGAAAATGAGGTTCTGACAGCTAGTTTTTCTTTACCATCTGACTCTCCTCATCCCCCCTTGCTACTCACCTCTGCTTTTTGGCTCCCATTTTTCTTTTTCAGGAATTTTCTTAGCAAGTTGGATAGGCTCCTGATGAATACTGATAACTCCCCACATCTGTGTTGTGCTTTATAATTTGCCAAGTATTTTCGCATACATCTCTCACATGATTTTCTCAACAACTTTAAGAAAGGCAAGATGAGGTTTATTCTCTCAATAATAACAATAAAAAGGCACAGGGAAGGCGGGTGGCTTTTCTCAAGGTTACACAGCTCAGTGCCAGATCCAGGCTGAGACAGACTCCTCACCCAGTGCTCTTCTGTGGCATCGAGTCAACACGCTTTAGAGGGGACTTGTTGTTTAATCACTAAGTCATGTGCTACTCTTTGTGACCCCATGGACTATGGCTCCTCTGTCCATGGGATTGCCCAGGCAAGGATTTTGGAGTGGGTTACCATTTCCTTCTCCAGGGGATCTTCTTGACCCAGGGATCGAACCCACATCTTCGGCTTGGCAAGTAGGTTCTTTACCACTGAGCCACCAGGGAAGTCCAGAGGTGACTTAATTTCACTGAAAACTTCTATGATATTTAGTATTCATTACTTTATGGGCTTTTGAAAGGCATTTTGGGAATTTTGTGGAGGTTCCAGGGAAAGAAATTACAGAGTTGAAAGAACTTTAAGAGCTTAGGTGTTAATAGAAGTGGAAGCCTTCTGTTTTCTCTGAAGGCTTTTTATTAAGAACTTGGCATTGAGCCTCTTCCTTTAAGGCTCCGTGAATCTCTCCTTGTCTGTGTCCCCCTTATAGTCCTTCCCCAGTGAGAGACAGCCCAGGAGAGAATGGTGAAGTAAAGACACAGGAAAGTAATGATGGTAATTCAGCTCCTAGTGTGTGATGGGCGCTTTTACTTTCTGTATCTTTTGTATACCATAGAGGCTAAGAGTGGAATCAGACTCGCCTAGGATTGAACCCTACATTCTTATTAGCTGGGTGACCCTGGAAAAGTTTCTTAGAATTAGAACCTGAGGATGATAACTGCACCTACATGTGTGTCCATGTGATGGGAGTGCATAGAAAGTGGTTGGCATGCCTAAGCAATCAATCATTTTTTCTTTATTAAGAGGGATGAGTTAGATTATATTTCCTCCATTTTATAGCTAAAGAAAGTGAGGTTCAGGGATGTTAAGGAAGCTGCCCAAAGTGACAATTATAAGTGAGTAAGCCTGAGCACTTAACCACCATGTTTGTAGGGGTGGCAAGCAGGGTCTTTGTTTCTCCTGTTTTGGGGGGCTGCCCATAAAGGTCATAAGCAGAAGCCCCTCATGGCCCAGAGGGACCTGAGAGCAGACTCAAAGCCTGCGGGCTCATTGTCCTGACAGCTGAGTAAGTGGACGTTCGTCCTGTCCCGAGTCCAACTCTAGCTTTATGAATGGAGACTTCTGTATTGAAGACTGTCCTCTGAGATCACAGTTCCCTGTGGAGGAATCACAGCTCCACAGTGAGAGTCAGAGAGCGTGTGACCTAGTGAAAGTCATGGGTCCCGAGAGAGGTTGGTTCCAGGGAGGAGATGCTGACAGGAGAGGCAGAGGGTTACCCAAGACTGTGCCCACCCCCTCCCGTCTACCCCGGCTGGCTGTGCTACCAAGCTGGCTCCCCTGCTGGGAAATTAGAAAATGCCCAAGTGGGGACTGTGCTTTGAGAAGAGCCTCACACATATGTGTGCTTTTGATTTGGTAAACTCCTCTCTTCTCTTCATCTGGGTTGCCCAGACTCTGAGTGTGGGTGTGAGTCCATTAGTTTAGTTAGGAGGTGATCCCTGAAAGCCCCAGTGGGGAGAGGAGGAATGAGTCAGGGAAGGCATGAAGGCCTCTACTGACGACCTTATTGAGATTACCACTGGGGACGGCTGCTGCTCATTTGCCCTGGGGGTCCGGGGCAGATGGCGCGCACTGGCCTCTGAGGTATCCTTACCAGAAGCTCTGAAAGCTGGGGCATTTGTCCACAAACTCCCATCAGTAGTTGGTTGAGGCCTGCTCTGGGAGGTTGCGGCAATTCTGGCCTGCCCTGGGCAGAGCCAACTGGCTTTGGTGGGCAGAGGAAGCCCCCCAAGTAAAAAGTCAGGAAGGCATGTCAGGAATTGGTGAGTATCCAGAGCATGGGGGTGGGTGGCCGTGTCTGCTGTGTCTATCCAAAGAGTCATTCAGAATGACTTGAAATCCATTTCTCCTTGAGCATTTAAACACCGGTTATAGATTTGGTTGATTAAATTTCCCTAAACTATTTAAATTCTACTACAAATTTAGAATGGCTAATTCCTTTTGATCATCCATCTTAAATAACAGATAAAACATATACAACATGTCAAGATTTAATAATACATTTACACTTTAACGTATTCTAAAATATTAAGTATCTTGGGTTTAATTTCTATCTTCGTTGTTTGTGTTCTTGGTTTTTAAGATCTTCAAAAGGCCATTGTTTCACTTATTTCAGTGTTTTCTTAGAGTTAACCTAAATGTCATTGTGACATTTTCCAGACAGTTGCACTGATCTTTCATATCCAGAGGACAAGGAATACCTTTTCTGAGCAGCACAGCCTACAGGATGCTGACTCTTGGAGGGACACATTCTTGCTTTATGGTATAGGACTAGGTGACTTCAAGGTGATTCAAACTCAGGACCCCTTATGGTTGGGGTGTGCTGACCTATCTTTAGTACTATTAAAAATGTGTACATTCCATATTAACACTTTACCATTCTTTGTTGGACTAGGTAGAGACTTCACCTGTTAGGAGATGAGTTTGAACTCTTGGTTTTCCTCTTCAGGTTGTGTGAGCAGTTGATGATGTTTCAAACACACTGCTGACTGTCATCTCCTTGTTAATTGTGTGTGATCACGATGCCAGTGCATCGCTGCCTCTCTTTCCACCTGCTTGTTGTATGACCACCAATGCCAAGCAGTCCCCCCAAGGGCCCTCAAGTCCTGCGTGATCTGACTTATGGTTCCTTTTGTTATTTTTTCTTACTCACCACAGAAATCACGGAAAACAGACATGTAATTAACACTCTGTAAAAGAAACTACATGGCCTTATATATGAGTGCTTTTCAGTTTTAAAGATCAATAACAAATGATAACATATCTTATTATTGTCATCTTTCTTTGCTATGAAAACTTCCTTTCTCTACACTTTATATTAACTTTCCTTTTGTAGGACATCATGAACACAAGGCATTTCTCAGACTCACGTTGCTTCCACGGTGATTTTCCCTTAAGTTTCGAAGCTCAGAGTATCACAGCTCATCTAGGGAGAGAGTTCAGCAGTCCCTTCCTCTCCCATGTAGCAGAGTTCCTGATGCCTGTGAAGTTATTCTTGCTGTTTGGCAACAGGCATTTCAGACCTGTTCCCATTGTTGTCCAGTCCCAAGATATGTTATGATACTGGCCTGTTTCCAAGGAGCCCTGGTTTTAGTGGAGAACTATACTGCTGACTACCTGGGCATGAGCCCTGGTAGTGGGATAAACTGCTGAAAACTTATGTTAGGCCCATTTTATTTGTTTTGTTAATTTATTTTTTATTGAAGTATAGTTGAATTACAGTGTTGTGTTAATTACTGCTCTATAGCAAAGCTGTTGTTGTTGTTCAGTCCCTCAGTAGTATCTGACTCTTTGCAACACCATGGACTGACACGCCAGGCTCCCCTGTCCTTCACTATCTCCTGGGGCTTGCTCAAACTCATGTCCATTGAGTCATTGATGCCATCCAACCATCTCATCCTCTGTCACCCCCTTCTCCTCCTGCCCTCAATCTTTCCCAGCATCAGGGTCTTTTCCAGTGAGTCGGCTCTTTGCATCAGGTGGCTAAAGTATTGGGGCTTCAGCTTCAGCATCAGTCCTTCCAATAAATATTCAGGACTGATTTCCTTAGGATTGACCATTTTGATCTCTTTGCTGTCCAAGGGACTCTCCAGAGTCTTCTCCGCCACAGTTCGAAAGCATCAGTTCATCAGCACTCAGCCTTCCTTATGGTCCAGCTCTCACATCTGTACATGACTACTGGAAAAAACCATTGCTTTGGCTAGACAGACCTTTGTCAGCAAAGTGATGTCTCTGGTTTATTAATACACTGTCTAGGTTTATGATAGCTTTTCTTGCAAGGAGCACGTGTATTTTAATTTCATGGCTGCAGTCACCATCCGCCGTGATTTTGGAGCTCAGGAAAATAAAGTCTCTCACTGTTTCTGTTGTTTCCTCATCTATTTGCCATGAAGTGATGGGACCAGATGCCATAATTAGTTTTTTGAATGATGAGGTTTAAGCCAGCTTTTCCACTCTTCCTATTTCACCTTCATCAAGAGGCTCTTTAGTTCCTCTTCACTTTCTGCCATTAGGGTGGTGTCATCTGCATATCTGAGGTTATTGATATTTCTCCCTGAAATCTTGATCGCAGCTTGTGATTTCATCAAGCCTGGTATTTCACATGATGTACTCTGCATATACGTTAAATAAGCAGGGTGACAATATACAACCTTTCCAATTTTTAACCAGTCCATTGTTCCATGTCCAGTTCTAACTATTGCTTCTTGATCTGCATACAGGTTTCTCAAGAGGCAGGTCAGGTGGTCTGGTATTCCCATCGCTTGAAGAATTTTCCACAGTTTATTGTGATCCACACAGTCAAAGGGTTTAGCATAGTCAGTGAAGCAGATGTTTTTCTGGAATTTCCTTGCTTTTTCTATGATCCAGTATATGTTGGCAATTTGATCTCTGGTTCCTTTGCATTTTCTAAATCCAGCTTGTATATCTGGAAGTTCTTGGTTCACA